CCAAAATTATCAATATTAGTATAAAAAGGAATAGATGGCCATTACTTTTATTTATTAAAAATTTGACATGATGTTTCTTTGTGAATTGTATAGAAATTTTAGAAATAATTTCCTTTAAAGAAAGTGAAGTTGTGATCTCTTTACAAGCAAATCCTGCATATGTCATTAAATAGGCAATGAGAGGCTTCATGCCCATCTGTCCCGTTTTGGCCCAGATTCCTATGACCCATGCCGTAATTAATGTTCAATTTACCTGTCCCACTAAATGGAAACTCAATTTGAGATTTTAGTAAATCTTTTAAAAGCAAAGGGTCTTGTTAATTGACTACATTTTGACCCATTTTTTGCGAGAACTCATGAATATATTATATTAGTGCCTCGTGGTGCGCGATTGACTTACCGCCACGTGGTGCACCCTGGGAAACGTATACTCATACGTCAAAAGTCTATAAACCGGTAGTTGACTTCAAACTATCATGACTCCACTGTATGTCACATCCCACCACTTTCACAGTACTCATCTTGCCTTTTCTCTGCCTTTGTATCTGTCTCTCTTTTACATCTGTGAATCACTCTTTTGTTCCCCCGTTCGACTGTTGTAACTTTGATGTTCCTGCCTCTGTGAAGCCCGAAGTTAACTAAAGGGCTTATGATGACTATCAAAAAGCCTGCCATTCGTTATAAATATTAACCCCACTGTTAGTGTAACCAGCTGAGGAATAGTTTCAGCGAATTAATAATACTGTCAGAGGGGTGAGCGATAGACTTATCTCCACGTGGTGCAGCCTGGGCAACGTATACTCATAAGGCATAAAAGTCTATTAATCGGTAGTTGACTTCTGACTTCAAACTAACATGGCCCCATTGTATGTCAAATTCGACTACTTCCACAGTACTCACCTCACCCGTATGTCATATTCGACCCCTTCCACAGTACTCATCTTACCTCGACTATTTGTCATATTTGACCCCTTTCACAGTACTCATCTTACCTTGTCATATTCGACTACTTTCACAGTACTCACCTCACCTTCTGTATCTAGTGTCACTTTTACATCTTTGAAGCGCTCTTCTGTTCTCCCTCCCTCTCTCGACTTCTTCACTTTGATGTTCCTCCTCCTCTCTATGAAGCCTGAAGTCAACTAAAGGGCTAATGATAACTATCAAAATAAATATAAATAAATTATATTGTCAGAAATTTCATACAACTTTGAATACTCTCCCGTTCAATTGTTGAATTTAACCGTTTTATTATCTAACTTTTTCACTGAAATAGAGACCAAGGGTAATCTGTCATATCATGTAACATTTAGACATGGGGTGCTAATAAAAAATGTGTAACAATAGGCATCTGATAGAGGTCAACATATTCAGCGAAAAAGCACATAAGTACATCAGTTGGGTATAAACAGCACTGAAGGTTGTGCCACTTGTTGGAAACTAAATTGACAATTTGAACGGAATGGTTGATCAGGAATTTAAGAAAGTATATAAATATTCGTTTATTTGCCCATTTGTTTTATATATATCGTTCTTGAAGTCGATTATCGTTCTAAATTTATATGAACAAAACAGTGTACCAAAAGAGCGGATATTGCTCAAGGATGGAACAACTTTCATTGTAAATCAAATTATGGACATTTCTACGATGAAACTGTCAGTTCGTATATAAATTTCACCTTTGTAAATAAGGCCATTCTAAATTGTGGCCTCCATCTCTTCGTTCAAGTAAGAACAAGTCTAGACAAGTCGCTAGGACTTACCCACTCAATATGTTCCCGTTACGAGAAGCCTTTAAATGCGTCAAAAAGCATTGAATTTGCCATTTAGTCGTTAAAACTCATCACCATTTAACGTATTCTTTTAGCGAATTCGGATTTAAAATGGACCTAAATTTTAAAACCAATCTGATAACGAAGATGTATTATTATTATTATAACTACCCTATTATCACACTGAATGGTGCTCGCTTTTTTCCGAAACAATTAGAGGTCTCAAAGGCACTTAATTATGAATTTATTTCGGGCGTAAGACAAAGACACATGAAATAAAATATGGCTAACTATGAAATTAATTAAACTAATTCACCGGTTAGATTATCCCATTTGATTTACTGACGGTTCATATTAAGGGGGAGGGTTTGCTCTCCCATATCCAGAAATAGAAACACAAGGCCTTATTATCGACTAGAGTGAAGGGTAGGGGGTGGAAGGGGGCAGGGGGCAGGGGGAAGGGGTAAGGGGGGGGGGGTTACCTAGGAAAGGAAGATCAGTTGCCTAGGTTCGTTTGAGGAGTTTTTGAATACAAGTATATTTTATTCGTGAGTTGAAAAGCACTCCTCTGAATATAATTTTTTGTCTACATGGCAGAAGAATAGTGATTTGACCGAGTGCTTGCTGATAAAATCTCTGAGAAATTTGCTGCCCAAAATGATATATTGGCAGAATGATATTGAAATTCCATTTGACTGAATTGAGTGCTTCATAGATTCGCTGACAGAAACAGTTAGTTGAAGCAACTTCAAGCGGATTCCAAACAGACGTTAGACAAAAAATTGGGAAAAAGTGCGCTTCGAAGAGGATATAATGGGGAAATTGCATGTGTGGACTGTTGGAAGACATTTATTTGTAGCAATTGAAATTCAAACTAGAGGGTACTGGTAGGTTGAGAACCAAAGATGATCTCCCCAACTGGTCCACCACTTAAGTGAAAGCATGTCACCCAGATTTTCCATGTGATGAACAAGATTATTAAAGACACTTGCCCTGCTTAGTTTTTTCCCTTGAGATTAAAATTTTAAAAGTTAACTTCGTTGTCAATCATGCTGTCCCATATGCCAACTACTCGATTGATGTGCCACATGAATTATTGGTGAATCAGAATCAAGCTGTCATCAAATTAGTATAAACTTGCTTAACTGTCGCCTTTTTGACTACGTTAAAATTTAACCAAAATCAAACAATAAGGAGAGGTATAAATTAGTGGTGTTTTATTTCAGGAAGGACTGATGAGTGAACTGAAAGGTGGCAAGCATAGAAAGGAGAGAATTTCGAAATGCTGAACTGTGATAATTGATAGAAATTTACTGGTATATAAAGAACCTAGCAAAACCTAATTGATGAGCAATTCAATGTTTAGGTAGAATGATTACTGATTATATTGTAATTTAAAAAGAAGCAGAAAGTCTCTTGAGGAAGACATTATCAATGTTTCAAGTTTTAATGGGGTATGTGATAATAGGACTAAACTCCACAGGCAATTCCTTTAAATTTGAAAAGTATATAATCTTGCTGGATCAGATTCAAGACAACTAAAAGGGCCAACGTTTTTTTGTAAATAAGTTTTCCTATGGAAACCAGCAACCATCCATGTAATCCGTCAATAACTATTCACGACCTGCAACGCGGCTGAATAATCCAAGAAGAAGTATCTAATCTCTCAAAGCCATGCGATGGGGGTAAAACGGTTGGGTGGTGGGGGGGGGGGGGGGTTAAGGAGTGGAGTCCCAATGATGTTCAATCAGTATGTTTCTTCTACTAGATTGATAAGTCTTCCAAAAGATTTCATGCTACCACGTTCCAAGCGAACAACTTTGGTATTTAATTTTACTGTAAGAATAGGTAGAAATTTCAAGAATATAACACAAGCTATTTCACTACATTAAATACAGACAAATACACCTTGAATTGGTTAAAAATCGTTTATTTATAAAGCTGTGGCTAAAGGGCCAATTGATAGAACGTAAAATTTAATCCAAGGCTCGAAGACCACAAAAACGGCGTATTTATAAACGATACAGGAATGCTTTTCAAGGGAGCCCATCAATAACTTTCTATATAACCACGGTGGTAGAGAGATGAGTGATCAGTTGATCGGAAATCGAAGCGCCATAACCCTATCTCAAATTAGCGTATCTCTGATTGATTTTTTCTGTTTTCATTCGCTCATCTAGATCAGTTAAAAGCAAAGTGTCTTTGCACCACTTCTCCATATTTGTTTTCGTTTTCGAACGTGTTCCTCTCGATATTCTGCTGATCGGATGTCGATCAATCATACTTACAAAATCGATTTGCTCGCACATTGTGCATTTCTCTCATGCACTGTCGTTTGGGTGTACAAGTTATTAAATGCAACACGTATCGAAATTCAATCCTTGCTTCATTTACTCTATTAATGAAGTAATTTATATTAGCGTTATTTTTGGTATCTGGTGTATTCAGCTCCTGGAAACACTGACACGTTCAAGCAGCCTAGCAGCGAAATAAAAAGGAGACGAACCTCTAATTCCAGCTCGATTTGAAATCGAAAAAATGCCTGCTTTCCTTGACGGTTTGCAAAAGCTGATCATTATTCTTTAGACCTAACTTAGCTAAATTCGTCTGGAAATGTATGCCCTATATTATCATTCCACCTACTTCCATAAAAGCCAAATACCGAGAAGGCAAATCATGACCACTAGATAATCATTGAGTACTTTTCTTGTAATAGTAGATGTACATGAACCAGTCAAAACTACCATATTGTCAGCCTACACCCGGACCAATCAACTATATCAAATATAAAGTGGTGTGTGATAGACTTACCTCCACATGGTGCACCCTGGGCAACGTATACTCATACGGCAAAAAAGTCTATTACCTGTCAACTGACTTCGAACTACCATGACCCCACTGTATGTCATATTCGACTACTTCCACAGTACTCATCCCACCTTTTTTCCACCTTATCTACCTTCGTCTTTGATACACTCTTCTGTTCCCCCCCTCTTGAATTTTTTACACTTTGATGTTCCTTCCCCTCTGTGAAGACTGAAGTCAACTAAAGGGCTAATGATAACAATCAAAACGCCTGCCATTTGATATAATAATATATCAAATATAAGTGTGTCTCAAAAAGGCATTTTATTCAAATAATACACAAACTACTTAATTGGCCAGAGTAGACAAGGTTTCAACATAAGACATTTGCTGAATTCAAGGCATAAATGGAGATAGATAAGACTAAAGGGAGTTTGTCCGCAAGGAATCAGGTGCGTCGCGAAATCCCTGAGATTTAGTCCACTCTGACACACGACTGGCTTCTCCAGAAATAAAGTGACGAACCTTGGAACACCGATCGTTGGTGCAACCAGGACAACGAAGGAAGAACTGTTGAGAGGCGACCTCCCCGCTTCTTAAGTGGCGCAGAAGCAAAGTAGCCATACCCTGCAACAATATATTAATATATATATATATACAATCATCCCCTTAAGAGCACAATTATAAGATGTTCACAGATATGAATCAATGTAATGTCAATTGACTAAGCAGGCACACACGTTAGCAATAACTCCACCGGTTAGATGAAGCTAGACCAGTGTCAGCATTGCCACTATTCTAGAGAACGCATGATTTAAAATGGACGAATAGCCCGACATCAACACAATGGTTCAGGTTTCAGGTTCCTGCTTGATTTGCATTCAGGTAATAAGAACTAATGTAACCTAAGGAAGAAAGTCGGTGTTCTAAAGGTAAAGTTACTGCACATGAAAAGGTGGGTTTTTAAGACCAGCGGTTTAGGTTCTTTTTTTAATTTTACCATTTTAAGCAGTCTAAGATAATGGATAACCACTCGACGGAAGGCATCCGCAACAGTAAATGACAGTCTTCTTTTCAGTAATCTCTTATACACTTAGGTCCAATTTATCAAGCCCTATTTTTTATCTATCTTCCTCTTACGTGAGATTGTAAGGCTAAAAATTTTTGTCTCGCATTCGATAGAAATATTTTAATGTTATTTTTCTCATATAAGTATTTGCACACAATTATACTAAAGCTATGAGATGTAGAAAAATTGATCTGTAAGCTAGATGAAAGTCTAACAAGTTTATTCATTGAGTTATGGTGGTACCACCGCGTCCTAAATTTGGTCAAATTGATGACACGCTTCCTTCAGTCATAAAAATAAATCTGAACTAGTTAGTAGCCCGAAATAATCACGAGGTCGAACTAAAAAAGCAATTGTCATCCAATTATCTTCAAATCGAGCTCGATTTTGAAAAACATCGACGTATAAAGGTCTTAAAGAGAGAGGCACCAATTGCAACCGAAATTATGCAGGAATCTTTGTTTCAAGGCCGAAATTATGTTATTCCGTTTTTCACTCTTCTCTGTAAATGTAATACTAAAGGCCAAAGACGTTTAAACGTATCTTGCCAACTTATTTTTTTGCTAAATATAAGCGGAAATAGGCAGGAGTGCAAGCCTCGTGATGAAAAGGACAAATATCTGATGAGGGAAAAGTAAAACCAACCTGAATGAACAAAGGATTATCATTAGGTGCAGATGCCCGTCGGACAACAGACATTCCAACTTCCTTAGCTAAGTCCGCAGCATACTCAATATCCAACTCGTAAAGGGTTTCTATATGCTCGGTGGTGAAGGCAATAGGCACCAAGATGGCGTGTTTTCGTCCAAGACGAGCGAGACCTCGTAGAGCATCGGCTGTGTCTTGGCCCATCCAGGCAGCAGGACCTACCTTGGACTGCCACACTAGGCGGTAGGGAAGGGCGAAATTGAGTCGCTGCATCACCGCGTGGACTGTAGCTGCAACCTCCTTAAAAAAGCGCTTTTTTAATCGACAAATTTAATACTTAAATCACATCACAATGTAGAATAGCCAATCGCACTGGCTAAAAGTGGATAATAGAGGAATAACGCATATTGGGTAAAAACGCTTTACCGAAATGACTTTGAACTCAAAATACGACCACAATAAAGATACTTAGATTGTGAAGATAAAAAGGAAATAAAGGTAGTCTGTAAATAGGTTGATGATCAAAGTTGGTGAAAACATAAAAGATAGAGTCGATACTCATAATGCTAGCTATCAATAAAAAATAAATTCAAGTTGTCATCTTGGCGAATGGTTCGTGTTTCAATCGTATTTGACATTAATTATCTCTCATTAGTTAAGTAATCACATTAAGATACTCAAGTGATCAGTTTTCCCATCACTCGGAAGAGGTAATAGTAAGTGACTTAAAGGCTAACCAAGTCCTCACAGTACATATGAGAAGTGAAAATTTAGTTAGCTAGAGAGTTTATTATGTGAATCAGAGACCTCGTGCATAAGAGCACCGACAGAAAGACCGGTCTGAATTTGAAGCCCTATTGCACATTTTTTTACATGGGGTTTGCGATAGACTTATCTCCACGTGGTGCACCCTGGGCAACGTATACTCATACGGCAAAAAAGTCTATTAATCAGCAGTTGACTTCTCACTTCAAACTACCATCACCCCACTGTATGTCATATTCCACCACTTCCACAGTACTCATCTAACCTCTTTTCTGCTCTTTTGTCTGTCTCTGTCACATCTGTGAATCGTTATTCTGTCCCCCCCTCTCGACTTTTTGTCACTTTGATGTTCCTCCTCCTCCTCCTCCTCTCTGTTAAGCCCCGAAGTCAGCTCCAGGGCTAATGATACCTGTCAAAACGCCTGCCATTTGAAATAAATAAATAAATTTTGTTTACATTTTACATTTTA